CCATGGTAGGTCATAGAAAGTGGAATTAAATTCCATGACCTCACTAATCCTAGGTGCTACTCCTCTTGAATCCTAAAACTATTATTCAAGATCTGATGCAAAGTCCAGTGTAGTCAAAAGCAAAACATGTATTCATACAGCTGCATACATGTAAACTATGCACGTGTTTAATAAACAGGAAATTCAGACGTCTTCTGTATTTTTCATCTCCCTGAATCTGAGGACAAATCTGAGAAGAACCAGGACAACTGTACAATCAGTTTCTACGCAGCAAGAGGCAGAGCTGAAAGCTTTATCTTCTGCAGGGCTTGGGTCTTTTTTCCTTCTTTACTCTCTTTACTAATGGCATTGATTAGCAACTTATTAGCCCCGGCTGCCTCCTCTTCCTTTAATCTTGATAAAGTGAAAGCTGTTTGGGGGCTCGGGGCTGTCCAAGGACACACCATTTTCTAATGTTTTTTTTGTGGGAAAACTGTCCATTACTGTCAGTGCAGCAATCTCTCCTTTAAAATCCTGTAAGCCAGAGAGCCTCGGGCAGGTTTCTGCAGCTGTGCTATCTCCTCTCATTGTTTTTGTGTCACTGAGACTGCCTGACCCACTGTGTTTGGCTGCCAGGGCCAGCTCTGCAATATGTGTGCGTGGCTGCCCAGGGCAAGAAGATATTAAAAGCAGCAGTAATTGTTTCATTGCCTAAATGGCTTCAAGAAACTGTTTCACTTTTCTGATAGCAAGAGCCCCCGAACAAGGCACCGGCCTGTTTAGCCCTTTGGGTTCACAAGGCAAGATAAAGGTTTGGATCAGAAGGTTTGTGGCTAGAAGACTCCAGTTATTTCCATGTTTCCTGAGCCCTTTATGGCCTCCAAGGACTTTTATATCTTGTGACTTTCTGTGCCTGAGAAATTCCAACTCATGCAAGTTGAATGTAAATAGACACAACTGGAAAGTTTTCGGTGGAAGAGTGCATCAATACCTTTCAACCATGGAAAATATTTTTATTTAATTTTCCTACTTGATTATTCTTTTCCCTGAACTGTCCAAGATACTCCCAATAATATGGGGGTTTTTTTTCTATTTGTTCAAATTCTTCCCCATGGGTCTGAAGGATTTTAGTATGTATTTAGATGACTCGCTATTTATCTGGTGTACAGCAATGTATTCTCTCTGACGGGTCCAGCTCCCATGTACTCACTGAGAGAGAAATGGTTCCCATGCACAGCATTTTCAGAATATCTCACTGCAGTTTATCACAATCCAGTCTGAAGACAATTTTCTCTCTTTTCTTTACCCTTTGGCCCTTAGTCTCAGATCATATTTCTTCCAATATAATAATATTCTTGCTATAATTCCTTGGGAGGATTTATGTCCTCGTCAATAGTCAGTCTTACGTTTCTTCCCAAGAATACTTTTTTGGAACTGGATGTTACAGCTTGGATATACCAAGTCATAGTCTATTCTTGTGATTCTCTGAGTGGAAGGATATGTTTCCAGTTCTTCCAGACTTCTTTTCCTTCTTCTCATGGTAACTGTGGTCAACTAAGCAAATGTTATTTTACTGTTTGCACTTCAGTACAAATTATAGTCCACAGTTCTGCCTAGCAGATGCTTTGAAGAATTTCAAAGCACAGTGTTAATCTAGGAATAACCCATTGATTTT